AAGGAGAGTGCAGTGCCCTTCTGGTGTGGGCACAGGAGTGTGCAGAGTCGTTACAGGCCACGTGTTTGCTGTGGGAGGCCATTACTGGCTCTTCCTGGTGGAAACGTTTGTTGACCGTATTAGTAATAGTCTTGTTGATCTTACTGTTTGGCCCATGTATACTTAACTGTCTCTTTGGCCTTGTCCCTTCAGAGTTAAAGTTGTACACTTACCTACGGCAGGAACACCTGGCGTCTACGGGGGGCCTCTCGATAGCCCCTCTGGGGAGCATCTCTGACTGCGACCGTGACTACAACCGCTTCCAGCCAGAAGTACCCAGCTCGGTCTTCCCTCCTCGCCCCCTCACAGCAGCTAGGGCGTACCTCTTGTGGGGGGCATATCACAGCCAGCTAAGTTAGGAAGCAACTGTTACTGCGAGAAGCCAGAATCACACACAGAGGCCAAGTAACAGCAACAAGCAGAGTTTTTTGTTGTTGTTGTTTTTTTGTTTTTATCTTTTTGAGACAGGGTCTCACTATGCAGTTCAGGCTGACCTTGAGCTCACTCTGTAACCCAGGCTGGCCTCGAACTCCCAGCGATCCTCCTGCTTCAGCCTCCCTAGTGCTGGGGTTACAGGCAGGCAGCACCACGCCCGGTCAAGCAGAGTTTTATTTAGTGTGCAGACCATCCCCCGACTGTTGCCAGTCAGAAGTATTGAGCCCGAGGCTAGAAAAACAGTGGTTCACACCACAGTTGGTCCAGTTTCTGAAAACAGCAAGGTATTTCCAGAAAGGCGGAGCACGGAGTTCACCACACGGTGACAGTCACAGTCACGGGGTCATTACATGACAGCACCTTATCACAAGTAGAAACCGCTTCACCTATGAAGGCCGGGCATGGGGATAAAGACGCAGCAGCCAGGCCTGCATGCCTTCTTAAGGATGAGCAATAACTTAGAATTATTCTGCAGTGAGCACCACCTGGTCCAGGAAGTCCAGATAGGCATCAGTCTCCCAGGTGGGTGACAGGAGCATCCCGACCCATTCCTTCCCAAAACGCCTTTGCTCTTGCCACAAGACCTGCCTTCCTATTGGATCAGTATCAGCTAAGCAGCTATACTTGTAATCCTATAGGTTGTTTTTTGTTTGTTTGTTTGTTTTGTCTTTTTGAGAGAGGGTCTTGCTCTGCAGTGCAGGCTGACCTTGAGCTCACTTTGTAGCCCAGGCTGTTCTCGAACTCAAATGGATCCTCCTGCCTCAGCCTCCCAAGTGCTGGGATTACAGGCGTGTGCCACCACACCTGGCAGTCCTATAGGCTGATGGCAGTTTGACACACATTGTACCTACACTGTGACTTTGCCATATAAATCACCCCTGACAGAAGCAGCCACCCATCTGAAACCTCTACTGTCTCTCAACAGCTATCTTTCAAAAAACCTTTCCTATACCCAACCTCTGCTGTCTCTAGGAATTCATTCTTTGATTTCAGGGGACGCCCACTCGGCACATCTCACGTGCACTGCTTCTTATTTTTTGTGCTTCTCCCCACTGGAACGTGAGTGCCAGGAGGGTGGTGGTCTTATTCTTATTTACAGCTTGGCTGGGGATTTACCTCAGTGGCACAGCGCCTGCCTGGCAAGCGCAAGGTCATGAGTTCGATTCTTGGTACCGGAAAAAAAAAATACAGCTGAGTCTCACAGTCAAGGCCAGTGCCTGGCATATCACTGGCATCTGATAAAGATCTGCTGGATGTGAAATAATAACAACACCAGAAGTAAGATCCCAGCCAGGCCTCGTGTTGCATGACTGTAATCCTAGCACTAGGGGAGGCTGAGGCAGGAGGGTTGCAAGTTTGAGGCCAGCCTGAGTAACATAGCAACCCTGTCTCAAATCAAAACATAAAAAAGTCTGCCGATATAGCTCAGCGTGCAGACCCTAGGTTCAGTCCCCAGTACCAAAAAAAGTTGGAACTAATCCAAATGCCTGTCGACTGATAAATGAATACGCAAAACATGAGCCACACCAGGTGCTGGCCCACGCGCGGGTCCTCCAGCCACAGCAGAACCTGGCAGGGGGCACCACGGGGGTGACAGCAAGCGTGCCAGCTCGGGTCCCTCTCAGGCTCCTCCTCCTCAGGCTCTATGGCCATTGAAGGCCTCCCACCCTCGTGACCTCCTGCAAACTTACTTGTGTCTCAAAGGCCCAGATCACGTCCTCATTTTTTTTTTTTTTTTGCAGACAGCACAGACCACTGGACCTCTGGGTTGAGTTCCCTTTCTTCAGGCAGCCCCTGGCCAGGGTCGGGCTGCTCCGCCCTGTATGAGACACGCTTGGGACAATGTTTATTTTGCTTGCTTTTCCTTTTTTGCCCCAGGGATGGAACCCAGGGCTCTTGCACAGAGCAACATCCCCGGATTCACTGACTGACTGATTCATTTATTGATTGTATAGGGGATCAAACCCGGGGGTGGTCCAACTCTGAGCTGCATCCCCAGCCCTTTTCTATTTTTAATTTTGAGACAGGGTTTGGCTGAGTCACTAAATTGCCCAGGCTAGGCTTAAAATTGAGATCTTCCCGCCTCAGCCACCCAGAGCGCTGGAACGACAGGTCCACACCACCACAACCCGGCTTGTTTGGTTGAAGTCGATTTCACATAATGCAAGATTTGCTGCTCCAACGCCACGCAGTGGACAATCGCGGTGCCCAGCGCATTCTGACGTTACACAACCGGCTCTCTCCCAGCTCCACCGCACTTTCCTCTCCAGTGGTCACTCTCCCTCAGCCTCCCCGAGCCACTCACCTGCTTTCTGCTGCCACTGAGTGTTTGCCCGTGGGCAATCCTGTGCTTCAGGCCCCAGAGCTCCCCATTCCTGCGTTATTTTCTCTTCCTCCTCTGTCTCCTCCTCACCCCTCAAAGTTCTTGCAGTTTTTTTAGTTTTATTAGTCCATGTTGTCAGTACAAATGACTGCATTTGCTGTAGGGGCTTGATACCTGCACATAACACATCTCAATCCTGCATTTCTAACCCTGTCTGCTTCCTGGAGCCCCCTACTCACACCGCCAGGCTCCTCTCCTGGGCTCTGGCTACTGACCCTATAAAGCTGCTGCTTTGGAAAAATCCAGTGTCTGAGAACAGGCCACCCAAGAAAGAGGTGCCGTAAGACCAAAGAAAGATGCCAGACACGGTGCCGCACGCCTATAACCTCAGCACTCAAGAGGCTGAGGCAGGAGCATCGCCATGAGTTCAAGGCCAGCTTGGGCTACATGGTGAGCTCACTGTGGCCTGAACCACACAGTGAAGTCCTGTTTCAAAAAACCAGACAAGCTGGGCGTGGTGCCCATGCCTGTAATCCCAGCACACAGGAGGCTGAGGCAGGAGGATTGCCATGAGTTTGAGGACAGCTTGTGCTCCATGCTCAGTTCAAAGCCAACCTGAACTACGTAGGGAAAGTCTGTCTCAGAAAATCAAAACAACAACAAAAAGAGCAAAGAAAGAGGCCAACAGGGATTTAGGGCAGGAGTCTCGAGTGGCAACAAGACAGACGGCTCTTTGTACCTGGAGGGGAGAGGAAGAGTTCATATGCTGAACATAATGGCTGTAACCCCTGCTACTTGGGAGGCTGAGGCAGGAGGATGGAGAGTTTCAGGCCAGCCTGGGCAATTTAGGAAGACCCAGTATAAAAAAACAAAACAAAGTACTAAGGTGTCTGTCAGTAGCGGGCCTGAAAATGCTCAGCTGACCATCTTCACAGCTGTGTGGCTTGGATGTGTGCAAGGGGTCACCGGACAGCGGGAGGGCGGTTACAACCAGATGGCTGTGCTCACATCAAGCCGCGCCTGGAGCAGGAGCCCTCTCTGCACTTTAGGGTTGGGTACGGAAGCCCAAGGAGCCAATACGTGTGAAGTGAGGGGCGCAGGCCGCGCAGCGCTGGGGCTCCTGGCCTAGGCCTGTGTCAGGCTTCACTACACAGCAAAAAGCAGCGGCTCTGCCCAGCCCTCAGCCTGCACGGAGCCCACGGCCGAAGGGCCAGGCACGGTTGCGCAATGACAGCAGTGCCAGGCTTCACTTTTATTTTCACTTCTCCCTCTCCAAAGGCAAGCCTGGAAACAGCTGCCTCTGGTTCTGATTTTTTTTTTTTCTTCAACACGGGATGGAACCCAGAGCCTCCACACTGTACTACACCTTTAGCCCTTTTTTTATTTTTTATTTTGAGACAGGGTCTCCCTAAATTGTTATGTTGCCCAGGCTGGACTCCAAGTTTATAACCCTCCTGCCTCAGCCTCCCAAGTGCTGGGATGACGGGCGTGTGCCACAGTGTCTAGCACCTCAGCTCTTGAACCTGAGGAGTGTGGGATTATCCCAGCTGTTTCCCTCAGGGACACACAGCTGAGTGAGGAAGCCAGGGACTCTGTTTCCTAGAGGAGCAGGGAGTCTCACCTGTCAAGATGGTCACAGCACCTCAGACCCGGGAGAATTAGTGAGAACCCATGGAGAGCACGGGACAGGGCCTGGGACCACAGGGGTGTTTGTGGTCATTATCCCCTTTCTCTCTGCACATCACCACTGTCATCTCCTCTTACTGCTCCCTGCTCAAGAACCTTCTGTGGCTCCCTGGTACCCTCAGGATAACATCCAAGTCCTTTACGGCATTAGAAACCTTTGGATTTTTATTTGTTTTTCACCATCCATTGCTGGGTCACAAGCATTTGTGGCATCCATTTATGCTCCTCTCACTTTCTCATTGTTCTCTCTGGGGACCCGGGAGCCTAAAGTCCTCCCTGCAGGGACTCTGGAAATTATTCAGCACTTAGGGCCTTAACCCCTAGGGTCCCTAAGGAGATCAGGGACTATTTTTTTGTTGTTGTCTTTTTCAAGACAGGGTCTTGCTATGCAATTCAGGCTGGCCTTGAGCTCACTTTGTAGCCGAGGCTGGTCTCGAACTCGCAAGGATCCTCCTGCCTCAGCCTCCCAAGTGCTGGGATTACAGGCGTGCGCCACCACGCCCGGCTGAGATCAGGGACTATTACTCAGCCGTTGAAAGGAACAAATGTGTGCTACATCACGGGTCCAGTCCGGGTTCCCACCAAGCTGGGTAACTCAGGCAGAAAAGGGTTTACTTTGCTCCCCAGTCCTGCCTGAGGTCGAGGGGCCACATTTGGCATTGCCTTCTAGTGGACAGGGTCCAGAGGCGACTCTGACTGGGAAAGGGGACAAAGATTTCCGACACCAATGACCTCGGCGAGGCTCCCTCCCAGCCGCAGGTGTCTGCAGGGGACTCGGCATGGCAGAGAAGGGAAGGCAAGGCACAGCGAGAGCCAGGGAGGCTGGTTGTGCGTCCCACCGCTGGCAGCGCAGGAGCGGAAACTGCACCCTGAAAGCAGGAATGGAACTGGAGGCCTGGACTCCTTGTCCCCAGCAGGTAAGGGGGCGTGGACACGGAGGGCTGAACAATAGGTTACTCCAGAAGGGACTGTGGGCCCTCGGGAGCCTCGGCCTCCAGGGAGGGCGGGGGCCAGCCTCTGGGAGGCTGAGGCAGGAGGACTGAGTTTGCATCCAGACCGGGCAACTTGACAAGACCCTGTCTCAAAATAAAGTACAAATGAAGAAGGGCTGGGGATGTAGCTCGGTGGGAAGGTCCCGGGTTCAGTCCCCAGGAGTAGCGGACGGCTGGGAGTCTAGAAAATGCGGAGCGCTGGAGACTCAGATTTCCAGGTCCTGGGGAGGGTAAGGGCGAGGAGTTTGCACGCTGATTGCGCACAGCTGGAGAGAGGAAGTTAGGGGCTCCCTGAAGTTGAAGAGCTGCCTGCTGGGTTCACAGGAGACAGGAAGTGGTGGCTTGGGGTGAGGCCCGTGGCAAGTGGCCAGTCAGACCCAAGGCTGAGCGGAGCACCATCCCTCTCCCGTGCTGGACTTTGCCTCTGCGGCACCGGGAAGCCACCTGCCGCCAGCCCGCCGCACCCAGCAAACCTTCCAGCGCGCTGCCACCCAGGCCCGAAGAGACGGGAGGTGATGGCCAGTGGGGCAGTGGGGGGCGGGCAGGACTGGAGGTTAGCAGGAACTAGGGAACAGGGAGAGCGCCTCCAGCTAGGGCAGGTGGGCCTCAGTCAGAGTCCCGGGATCGCTTCTGCCTGGAGCCAGTGCAGCCGGGGAGGCAGAGTCAGGCTGAGATCCCTCACACCTGAGCACCGGCTCCTTCCCTGCAGGCCCAGAGACTGCCCGGCCCTCCGCTTCCCGCAGGACAGCATGTGGGGCTACCTGACTCTTCTGCCCCTCTTCCTGGCGCTCTGGGCCATCGCTGGCGTCTGGATCGTGTGAGTGTCAGAGGCAGGTGTCCGCCAGGGTTGGAGGGACGAGGGGGGCAGAAGTCCAGGCTGGTTTTGTGTACAGAATGAAACGTATGTTTGCTTAGCAGAAGGGCAGACACTCTGCTCTCACACTCACTCTGCGTTCCTCCCACCTTAGCTTCGCCATCGCCGTGGCCAACAGGTCGGTGAACCTCACCCAAGGGTTCCCCTACATCAGGTAGTTGGGGTACGTGGGTGCCTCCAGGAGGAAGTGCTGGGCACTGCCTCGGAGGTGCCGCAGGGTGACCGCTAACTCCTCTGCCTTCCCCAGTATCTGCGGATCCTACCCGCCTCAGAGCTGCATCTTCAGCCAGGTTCTCAATGTGGGGGCGGCTCTGGGTAAGTATTCCCACCCCTTTCCAGGTACTGCCACCCCAAACCAGCCGGGTGGGGCCCCGCTCGCACCAGGAGTCCAGCCCCCCAGCCCTGACTCGGGGGTCCTGGCCCAGCCTCGTCCCTCCCAGCGCCCAGCCCCCCTCCTCCCGCAAGCCCTGCTGGGGACCTGGTTGGCTCCAGTCTCTGCCCACTTCCCTCTCCTCCCAGCTGCCTGGATCTGCGTTGTGCGATATCACCAGCTCCGGGACTGGGGCGTCGGCAGGCGGCTTAACCAGCTGACCCTGTGGTTCGGGCTCATCTGTGTTCTAGGCACCTCCATAGTAGGCAACTTTCAGGTGAGACACAGCGGGCAGGACACAGTGGACTACAACCCCGGCGTGCCCCGCGGCCGAAGCGCGCTTGCTCTGTGAGCCCGGTTCGCACTGCCTCCTGGGACTTGTAGTCCTCCCGTAATAGGCAGGCGCTGTGGGGCCAAGCCCGCTGCTGGGACTGAGCGTCCATCCGGAAGCCCTTTGTCCATTGGACCTTGTGGAACCCAAAGAGCTGCGAGGCTTTTGTCCCAGCCTCCTTCCCCATTCTCACTTATGATGAAATGACTGTGATTCCCCCGGTCTTGGAGTTTGACCCGCTGGGTGTGCACGTTCCCCTTGGCGAGGCAGAAGTCTTCACGCTGTGGACACATTCGCTCAGTCCCTGTCCACCAGCACTCCAGGGGGGCCGCCTGGCCATGTCCCAGTTCCCCACCAGCTGCTCTGTGCAGCTCCGTGCACCCTGGAAACCTTGGTGTCTGTAGAGCGAACGGACCAAACAATAAGAGGAATCCGACTTACTTTGCTATTTTATTGTACTGTCACACTGCTGACACCCAACCTCTCTTGCTGAAATAAGAGCTGGGGGTGACCCCCAGGGTGTTGAGGCAGGAGTCGGCCCCAGCTTGTTGGCATAGCAGTCCGTGGGTTCATGCGTTCATTCCTTGTCCCTCACCCTAGTACATGACATTACTTTGGAGCTTCCTTGATCACCCCTCCCAGAAATTTAATACTTAACTGCTTTAACATATACTGTGTGCTGTAGGTCATACACCACTGGAATATCTAATAATTTTTATCTTCCAAGAACCAGTTTTTAGCTGGGTGTGCTGGCACACACCTGTAATCCCAGCACTCGGGAGGCTGAGGCAGGAGGATCGATGCAAGGTTGAGACAAAGTGAGCTCAAGGCCGGCCTGAACTGCATAGAGAGACTCTGTCTCAAAAAGACACACAGACACACAGACACACAGACACAGACACACAGACACACACACACACACACACACACACACACAAACCAATTTTTATTCCCGGGGGGCAGGCTCTCTTTCCGCTTTGAGATGCAAGGCGTATTCCGCTCACGTTTGCTGAGCATCTACTTGGTGCTCCTCTCCCTTGCTAAAGTTTTCCTCATAACTCTCCTCCTTTCTCCCAGGAAAAGAACCAGAAGCCCACGCACCTGGTGGGGGCCTTCTTTGCCTTTGTCTCAGGCAACATCTACTTCTGGCTGCAGCTGGTCCTGTCCTGGCGGATGAAGAGCCTGCCCCAGCCCGGGGAGCCCTGGCTCCGGCTGCTGCGCCTGAGCCTGTGCGGCCTGTGCAGCCTCCTCATCGTGGCCAGTATCCTCCGGGGGTCGGGGTGGCTCCTCTCAGGGGTCAGTGTCCCGTGCCCTTGCTCTGTGCCGCGTAGATGTCCCTTCCCATCTCTGGGGCTCTGCCCCGGACCACAGCTGCCTCTTGGCGAGTGCTGACCTTCAGGCCAAATCCCCCATGTTAGTTGGGGGACGCTCCACTGGTTTCTTCAGTTCTAGTGCATTTTCCCCTCTTACCAGGGGCAGGCTGTGAGGAGGGAGTCAGCGGGAGGGTGCGCAGGAAGGGCTCCGCGGCGGCCTGGCCTGTGCTGACCCAGGACCCGTCCACAGTGGTGTCGGCTGCCCCATGCTGGGTTTGTGCAGGGGCTCGGCCGGGTGCCTTGCTGGGTCCGGTAGGCTTCGTGGTGACCTGTAGGTGGCTTGTGAGGAGACCAGAGTGCAGAGTTCCCAGGTGCCTGCTCCGGGCCTTCTCGGGGGTGACTTGGTAGTATCTGCACCCGGACCACTGGCAGAGGTTGCCGGCCGGAGCCAGCTGTCCAGTGTCTGCCGCACAGCACCACCGAGGCTCCCGCCCAGCTCCCCCGGAGCTTGGGTGCTGTCCAAGCGCGGGGCACCGCTGGCTGGCTCCATCCTCTCTGCCGCGGTCTCCACATCTGTGAGACAGCTGCCTTGATCCAAAGAGAGATGAACTCTGGCAGGTAGAGGAGAGAGAGGAGAAGCTGCTTCTAGTAGGTCAGGCTCGGCGGCCTCTCTTATTTGTGCAGAGTAGCAGAGGCCGAGGGAAGCCGAGGGGAACCGGGAAGGCCCAGCTGCAGGCAGAGTGGGGATGGTGATCTCATTTCCCCAACAACCAGGGAAGTCCCGCCGAAGGGGCAGGACTGGTCCTGTTCACCTCCGCGACTCCAGCCTGCGGGACCTGGCCTGTCCCTTCCAGCTGGCCAGTGGGTGGTGAGACGCAGCCGGCCCCCGAGAAGCCTCCAAATCAGCAGTGCTGACAGCCAGTTTGGAGCCAGCTGGGTGGGCTAAGCTCAGGCTGGAATTCCAGAGACCTGGTGGGAGCCAGCTGGTCCTGCTGCAGGCGCTGCTGCGGACCTGGCTGGGGCGTTGGGGGCAGCTACGTGTGGGAGGGAAGCCAGGGCTGGCGTCCAGTTCTCCAGGAGCACAGGAGAGAGCCGGGCTTCCGTGTGGGGCTGTGAGGTCTCCAGAGACGGGAAGGGGGCCCCAGTGCCTCTGTCCCTTGAGACCTCCGGGGCCGGGACACTTGTCCCTACTGGCTGGCACACAGGGACCTTAGAAACCCTTGAATGTATGAAATGGTGTCTAAACTGGCCTGGGAGGGGCGAGCTGGATCTAGGCTGGAGGAGAGTTGGGGAGGAGGGTGCTCCAGGGAGAAGTTCGAGAAATAAGTTGTGCCATGAACCCCTGAAACAGCTTCGGCCTGCCCTGAGGTCACAGAGCTCGGAGGATGCCTACGTTGCAGGGATAGAAAATGGTTTTTCTGTGTTTTTTTGAGACAGGGCCTCACTATACATTCCAGGATGGCCCGGAACTCACAGCCATCCTCCTGCCTCAGCCTCCTGCATGTTGGGATTACAGATGTACACTACTATGCCCGGCTTCTGGTTTTATTTTTTGAGGCACGGTCTCTCTGTAGTCCAGGCTGGCCTTGAATTAGATCTTTCTGCCCCAGCCTCCCCAGTGCTGGGGTCACAGGTATGTGCCGCCACGTCAGCTCAGAGAGAGGTTTGGAGGAGCAAGTCTGGGGAGCCAGGGAAGGGATGTGCAGAGAAGCGGAGTCCAACAGGGACAAGAGGTGGCCAGTGGGTGGGGCAGGGCGAGGGCGCAGGAACTCCCAAGGGTCTGCCGTAGCACCAGGTGATGGAGGGATTGCCTCAAAGGTGCACACGCCCTGAAAGAGGGGAGATTTGGGGGCACGGGGGGGGGGGGTGGGGGTTAGGAACTGTGACTGGAGGTGGTGGCAGTGGTGTCCTGAGGGATGGGTGGGGAAATGCCGGGACTGGGAAAGGTCAACTGGATAAGAAGCATTTTGGAGCCTGCAGTCCTGGCCCACGCCTGTCCTCCCAGCACTCAGGAGGCTGAGGCAGGAGGATCGCCAACTTGGAGGCCAGCCTGGGCTGGCCAGTTTGGAGCACACAGACCCTGTCTCAAACAAGCAAAAAGAAACCGTATTTTGCGATACCGGGGCCACACTACTAATGGCATCTGCACACGGGGAACCCTGGGGACAGCGGGCACCGGGGTGATCAGGGCCAGAACCCAGCGGAGGAGTGTGGGTTAGGGGCGGCTGCTGAGCTTGGGCACCCAGGCCCACCCTTGTCCCCCCGTCCCGGGAGCCCGCCCCAGGCCCTTCCTGGAAGCAGGTGGCCCTTGACCCCCGTGCCCAGTGATCGTCCTGCACCACTGGCCGCTGCGCTCCGCCTCTGCCGCCTGCGAATGGGCCTTGGCCATGCTGCTCTTCGCGCTCTTCGGCCTCTTCGCGGTGGACTTCGCGGACCTCGACGGCTGTGCCCTGTGCCTGCGGCCACGGCCGGGCCTCCAGCCCCCGCCGGCCTCCGCCACGCCCTCGCTGGCCTCCCCCACGTCCTCCCAGCTCCAGCTGTCACGGGCGCTCAGCCCCCACCTCCCTCACAGCGGTGCAGGAAGCGGGCCCGAGCCCCCAGGGGGCCCCCAGGAGGAACCACCAGGGGTCTCTCCCCCGCGCCCGGACGGACTGGGGCTACGGCTCACTCCTGCCCCGGAGCCTGGAGGACACGCGGAGCCAGCCCGGAGCCGGCACCCCTTGCCCGCCTGTCCGTGCCTCTGCAGTGAGGGGGCCCAGGAAGCGAGAGCCCAGCCCAGCTTTTGTCCCTGATCAAGGCTATTTATTATTATGTTTTGTTGTTGCCGCCGGCAGAATCAGAGACATGGACGCAGGCAGGATCACGCGAAACCAGAATTCCTTCCGGGAGAGCAAATCCGTACAGAAGGTCGTGGGGGTCGGGGAGGGGGGCGAGGAGGGGCCCAGGGAGGGGAGTTGGGGACGACACAGGGACAGAGGGCCCTGTCCGGATCTGCTAAGCCACCCCAACCAGCTCCCGTCCCTCCCCCACCCCACCCGCAGAGAGACTGATCAATAAATAAAATAATAAATTAATCAATAAATAAAATAGAAATAGCTCCCTGCCCCGTCCCCCCGCGCCTCCCCCCTTGGGCACGGCCCTGGAGCCCCATCCCTGCAGGGCAGGCCGGTTACCGGGTCCCCCCTCCCGATGTACTCCTTGGGCCTTATTTACAGATTCACAGTTGGGGGGCAGGGAAGGGGGTGGAGGGGGTCCCCTCCTTCCCTGGCCCCTGGGGTCAGGGCAGAGGGGCCCCGTTGGTGGCCAGGAGCTTCTTGTCCTTGGGGGGGCCTCGGCGGGGAGAGCCACCCAGCTCAGGGTCTGGGCGGCTGGGCGGGGGCTGCAGGCTTCGGGGTGGGGTGCCAGCGGGCCGGGGCTGCACCCCGTTCTTCTCATCTGTGCGGGACGGAAGGAAGAGTTTAGTGTGGGCCGTGGCACTTCTCAGAGGTCTGGGCAAGCCTGGGGTGCTCAAGCTTCATCCAAGGCACCTCACGCCCCAGAGGGGTCCGCGGGGGAGAGGCGCAGGTCACCTGCAGATGGGCTCTCCTGCAAGGGGCTGCATCAGACCCCTAGGACCCTGTGGCACTGGAAACCCAGCCGAGTTAGTCTGGGTGAGGCCTGGGCCCGACTTCAGAGGACTCCTGGGGCCGGCTGGGGGCTGGTGACCCAAATTCACTGCTAGGTTGCTGGGCGCAGACGCTTGTGCACAATGGGGCTGGGAGCCCGCTGCGCAGTGCTGGGGGTCACAGGCCCGCGCGGCCGGGTCTCCCTGGCTTGGCACCCTCCGGTGGGCCTGACTTCCCCCACTGGGACCACTTCCTGTCGGCGACTGCAGTGGCTGCTCTGGGGCAACTCCGCAGGCGCAGGCCCAGCTGCTCTAAGAGATGCTGACTGCCCTCAGGAGGGGTGCGGCCTGTCGCCAGAGCAACCGAGAAGGCGCTCTGCTTCCTGGGTGCCCGGTCTTGGTTTCCTTTCCTCCACTACTGAGGCATTGAATCCAGGGCCTTCATCCCACGCTACACCCCCAACCCTAGGGTCTCTCTACCTGGCTCAGGCTGGGCTCAAACTCAAGACCCTTCTGCCTCAGTCTCACAGAGTGCAGGGTTACAGGCGTGGGCCACATTCTCTGTACGAGGTGAGTGTCTAAGGCTCCTGGGGTGCCTGTTGGTTCTGCCTCTGAGGACCGACCTTTCGGGATCCCTGGTTGCTGAGGCAACGGGGTCCAGGGGGCCTAATTGGCTCCTTGGTTGCCCCTAGCAACTAAAAGGGAAAACAGGGTGTCTGGCCTGGGAGCTGTTGACATTTGGGACCTGGATGACCCTTCATGGTGAGGGGTGTCCTGTGAGTTACAGGGTCTTTCACAGCATCCCTGACCCCTACCTGTAAGATGCTACTGCATCCTTCTGCCATCCCCAGTTAAGGCAGCTTGTAAGCTACCCTGGCTTTCCTCACGACAGTCTGCCCTGCACCCTCAGGCTGTGGTTTTTTTCTTTTACCTTGCTTTTTTCCTTTTTCTTTTTCTTTTTTTTTTTTGAGACAGGGTCTTCCTAGGCTGACCTTGAACTCATAGAGATCCTCCTGCCTCAGCCTCCCAAGTGCTGGAATTACAGGCTTAAGTCACCACACCCAGCTTTCTCTTGCTTTTTCTTGTTACTCAGCCAGGGACCTGTGAAAACCTCCCCTGTGGGAAAGAAGACGGCTTGTGTGGTGATTAGGGTTAAGGACTTTAGCCAGAGAAGCTATTCTGGGTTATTTAGGTCCATCCAATTTAGTCTTACAAGGGCTCAGAAGAACTTTTCCAGCCAGGTAGGGTGGTGCCCACCTATAACCCCAGCATTTAGGGAGGCTGAGGCAGGAGGATGGCCAAGTTGGAGCCCAACCTGGGCAATTTAGCAATATCCTAGCTCATTTTTTTTTTTTTTTTAAAGGTCAGGGAATGTAGCTCAGTGCAAAGGCCTTGGGTTTAACCTCCAGGATTGGGGGAAGTGAAAGAAACTTTCCCAGCTAAGGTCAAGGCCAGCTCCTCTCCTGGGTCCCTCTGCCTGCGCCCTTTCACAGGGAGGAAGACAGTGTCCGGGTGGCCCTGGAGAAACCTCAGGGCTGACCGTGCACCCTGTGGGGTCTGCGCACCCTACAGGCCTGTTCCAGGAGAGGCTGCCATGTCTCAGGCTGCGCTATGGGCCAGATGTTGTAGCCCCCAAATACACATGCTGAAACCCTAGCCCCCAAGGTTGTGGTGTTAGGAAAGAGGACCTTTGGGAGGAGATTACTCACAAGGGTGGAGCCCTTGTGAATGGAATTGGTGCCCTTATGAAAGACACCTCACAACTGCGTGTGGTGGCACACCCTTGTAATCTCAGTACTCTGGGAGGCTGAGATAGGACGACTGCAGGTTCAAGCCCAGCCTGGGTATTTAGAGACTGTCAAAGTAAAAGTAAAGGGCCGGGGGTGTAGCTCAGTGGCACAGCGCCTGCCCAATAAGTGCAAGGTCATGAGTTTGATTCCTGGTACCAAAAGTAAATAAATAAATAAATAAATGATAAAGCAAGGGCTGGGGAGGTAGCTCTGAGTGAAGGTCCAGGGTTCAATTCCCAGTAGGTGAGCTTCCTGCCTGGGACCAGCAAGAAGGTGCCTACTCTAAACCAACTGAATGCTGGGGCTTCCTCGACCTTGGACCTTCAGCCTGCAGGTGGTGAGCAATGCATTTCTGTGTGGTTTGTAAGCCATCTGGTGCATGGGTCTTTCCCTTTTTTTTTTTTTTTTTTGGTCCTTTCCTTATTGCAGCTAGAATGGACTAAGATACTTTGGCAACAAACGTGGCCATGGCTTGTTCTCTGCTTTGCCCCGTGGTTGCTAGGGACATTCGGCCTTAGCAACAGGTCCAGCTGGTGCTCGAGTTCTTGGGTGCCGGGGATATCTAAGTCCCGTAAAGAGGGCGATCAATTTGTCCCAGTTTTAGACCAAGTGTCTTGAATCCAGGCAGACCGGGATGGCCAGTTACCCCCCTCCAGAGCAGAGGCCTCTGGAGTCCGGCCTGCAGATCCCTCTCAGGGCCTGGACGTGGCCTGCGCCCGCAGCCCCACCCACCTGCCAGGGCTTGCACGGATGGCTGGTCGTGTGTGCTCAGCAGCTGTGCCTGGATTGTCTCCACCACACGTTTGAACCGACGGCTGGGACCTGGAGGGCAGTGGACAACAAACACACTGATGGCCAGGTGGGGGCGGGGATGGTCCTCGGCCTGCGGAGCCCGGCTCCTCCTCCAAGTGAAAGACTGCTCCTCTGGGGCTCAGTTTCCCCAGTGCTGGTGGAGCTGGCATCAATCAATGGTTTACAAATGATCTTCCCATTGGTATTTAAGAAACACCCTAGCTGGGCGTGGTGGTGCATGCCTGTAATCCCAGCAGCACTCAGGAGGCTGAGGCAGGACTGCTGTGAGCTCAAGGCCAACCCGGCCTACATAGTGAGGCCCCTGCCTCCAAAAAACAAGATGAGTGGGCTGGGGATGTGGCTCAGTGGTAGAGTTTTTCCCTTGCATGCGTGAGGCCATGGGTTCGGATCCCCAGCACCACACATACACAAAAGAAATTGAACAGGGCTGGGGAGACCGCTCAGCGGCACAGCGCCTGCCTGGCAAGCGTGAGGTTGTGAGTTCAATTCCTGGTACAAAAAAAATTTTTTTTTTTTTTTTAAAAGAAACACCCAGAACTCAAGCCTTCAACTTAAACTAACAACAGATGCTGGCTTCTATTTACATAGAAGCTGTTAAGGGGCTGGAGATTCAGCTCAGCGGCACAGCGCCTCTGGGCAAGCGCGAGGTCATGAGTTTGATTCCCGGTACCAGAAAAAAAAAAAAAAAAAAAAAACCCATACATAGAAGCTGTTGCTTTTCCTTTCTAGTCGAGGCTGTGAAGAGCCAGAGATGTAAACGAAAACAAAAGTGAGAAAAAAACATCTTAGAATGGAGAAAGGTCTGCTCTGGGAGGCTGAGGTAGGAGAGCACAAGTTCAAGCCCAATTTGGACAACTTAATGAGATCTTGTCTCAAAAAAATAAAACAAAAAAGGGCTGGTGATGTCACCCCGTGCAAAGGCCCTGGGCTCAATCCCCTCCTTAGTGCCCCCCCCAAGAGAAAAGTCTTTGTTTGTTTTGTTTTTCTTCCGGTACCAGGAATCGAACTCGAGACCTTGCGCTTGCCAGGCAGGCACTTTGCCACTGAGCTAACTTCCCAGCCCCGAGAGAAAAGTCTTTGTTATTAATCTTTAAGGGGGAGAATAAAAAGAACCCTAAAAAAATAAATAAATAAAAAGAACCCTAATTTGTTTGAGTGAAGGAACACCCGTTTCACTGCAGCCTGCTTTAGAAACCCTCAGAACAAGCTCATCTCCTGACGGTGACATAATAAGATCAGTGACAAAGGGCAAAAGCAGAGGAGTCCCTTGTTATTCAAAGGCCCACTAGCAGGTTCAGGTACCAAGGAGAATTAGAAGCAAGGAATTCCTGTGGTTTTTATCTCTTGTGCCAACTATTGATTCGCTGTGGCTGCTTGATGTTAAAGTTGCTGCAGCAGCAGCTGAGCTCAGCAGGGAGAAATGCTGTAATTGATTGGTGATGTCTGCTCTGGGCAGAGAACTGATATCTGAGGACATACTGTGCTTGTCTTTGCCCTTCTCATCTAAGGTGAAATGAAAGTAGCAAGAGGAACTCTGCTGTCCCCTGTGAGGGCAAAAGGCCTAGGTTGACCCTAGTTTTGCCATGGTTTACTGT